TTGATGTCCCCTTCCTTGTTGATGTCCCCTTCCTGTGTGAGGTCCCCTTCCTTTCTGAAGTCCCCTTCCTGTCTGAAGTCTGTTTCCTTTATGAAGTCCACTTCCTGTCTGAGGTCCCCTTCCTTTCTGAAGTCCCCTTCTTTTCTGAGGTCCCTTTCCTTGTTGATGTCCCCTTCCATTTTGAAGTCCCCTTCCTGTCTGTGGTCCCCTTCCTTTCTGAAGTCCCCTTCCTGTCTGAGGTCCCCTTTCCTTCCTGAAGTCCACTTCCTGTCTGAGGTCCCCTTCCTTTCTGAAGTCCCCTTCCTTTCTGAGGTCCCTTTCCTTATTGATGTCCCCTTCCATTTTGAAGTCCCCTTCCTGTCTGTGGTCCCCTTCCTTTCTGAAGTCCCCTTCCTGTCTGAGGTCCCCTTTCCTTCCTGAAGTCCACTTCCTGTCTGAGGTCCCCTTCCTTTCTGAGGTCCCCTTTCCTTCCTGAAGTCCACTTCCTTTCTGAAGTCCCCTTCCTTTCTGAGGTCCCTTTCCTTCTTGAAGTCCCCTTCCTTTCTGAGGTCCCTTTCCTTCCTGAAGTCTGCTTCCTGGCAGAGGTCCCCTTCTTGTCTGAAGTTCCCTTTCCTGTCTGAAGCTCATCTCAGCCCAGGGGGTCACCATTCATATGCAAATTCACTCAGAGCAGCGATACACAGGACCTTCCTAAGGAGGCCATAAGTGATACGAAGGGTGGTAAGGAAACTGCCTTTCAATGCCCAGTGTAAGTCTGCACTGTACTGCAGTAATCAGTTTGCTGCTCAACAAATCCTCATTTTGATTAAATTAATATATACATACTAGTGAGAGACTGCAAGTGGACTCCTTACTCCTGTCCATATACAGAACCAAGGCTGCTAAGAGTCTACAGTGGATATTCAGGTTTCTCATTCTTCGAATCGGCCTAACAACACTGTAATTCAGCATTCTGGATGTCAAGTAACGTCAACATATAGATCACAAGAATTACAGTATATACATATACATACACACATGCACACACACACGATATACAACTGCACCACTACTATAAACACTGGCCCTTTGAAATACTGCACCCAGGATTGTATTTTACAGACATTCTCTAATACATCTTAAGATATTTTCAAACACTTTATAAACATTTCAGACTAAGCGTTCAGGACAGAGAAACAAAAATTTTACATTTGATTTATTTTGATATTTAGTAGCAATTTAATACTGCTAGATGTAATAAAATAATATATAAAATAATAATAAATAAAAACTGTTCAGAATCTGTTACCCTGAGGCTGCCTAAATGTAGTAAAACTGTGCAGTGGAAACCGATTCTGTGCCTCCTGAAGGTTCATTTTAAAATGTCTGTCCAGTTCTAGTAGAATCTTCTTATGGACAATTCTCTGGCTCTGAAGAGATTCGAGTTTTGAAAGATGCACGTGTGGGATCCTGATGGCGATTGGCCTGAAGCTGTGCACGGGGTAAGTCCCTCATGAGGCCACACCAGCTTTGCTAAATGACTAACACTCCTCCAGCTCAGTGGCAGAGCAGCCGGGGGCTGGCATCTTGATCCCAGCAGCGGGATCAATTCTATCGTCGTCGGCAGGGAGAGCGCGGGAGACGCAGGGGGGCGGAGCTGCCCGCGGCCCGTCGGTGTTTATTAGAGGCGGCAGGATGGGGGTGCTGGCGAGCACGCTTACGGTGTGAGGGCAGAGGGCCTGGCGTGCAAGCCGCGGTGACTCTGCAGTCTGCCTGTGGACGCTCCGCCACCGTCGCCACGCCCATCTCGTTATAGGAGATCTCTATGGACGCCCGTGTCTGTGTGCCGACTGTTCTCCAGACCACGACCTTCAGTGCAATCAGCCTGCTGGTCACATCTCCACAATTAAACAAAGCAAAGGGGATGCCGGCTTGACAGAGGCTGCTGCAAGCAGGGGTAGGGGGGGGGGGGAGGGGATGGGTGTTGCTGGTGAGTCCAGATTCATTTCTAGGAAATGAGCGTCAGTTCCCGGGTACCTGGGCCTCATCACTTATCCCTCGCGTGCGTGCAAAGAAATAACCGATCGCCGATTTGCCTCTCCAATTTTGGGACTCGGTCCTAAATCGAGATTCTGCTTCCCTCGCAGATGCATCTCTCTCCCCATGCTCTCCCTGCACTGTACGTTTGGGTAAAACAAGCCCAGGGTCCAATCAATAGGGGCCTGAAACCTCTCAAATTCTGCTGATTAACCAGCTGCCCCTGGCTGGCGGACGCGGTGGGACCATGAGGCGAGGACAAGGGGTTCCAGAAGGGGGCACACTTACCTGTTGATGGCATCCAAGTGCTGAGTCAGGGAGAAGGGCTTGTCTCGGTCCAGACTGCTCTGTAGAGACATGGCACAGACCCTCAGCACAAACGTAGTCCACAGGCCGCCACCCACGTGCATAAAAAACTACTCTCCGCCACGGCCAACTGGAACAGAGAGCTAGCATATGGCTGCTCTTACCGAAGCTGACCTCCTGACTTCTGCAGCAGAGCTTGCTTTCTGTCGAGGCAGGTGAGCTGCAGGTAGGGTATTACCATCCCCCCACCCCTGTTATTAGTGATGACTGATGATAGCCGAGGCTAGTGTGCATCATTAAACCCCAACGGTATCTCAGCGCAACAAAAAAATCCACAGAGCCTCCCTTCTGGCCCGGCAGTTGCCCTGAACCCTCACTACTTGTCTGGGTCCAGGACCGGAGACTGTTCCAATGCTGTTCTACCCCGGCCTTGATGCGGCCCACTGGGGGTGGCATGTGGGCCAATAAGGACAATGTGCAACCCCCGTGTGTTTTTTTCAATGTCAGGTCGTCGAGGAACCCATCGGACCCATGACAAAGATCTGCACTCTGGCGCCCCCTGTCTTTGCACTGAAATTTACGGGCTGCTAATGGTCAGCCATGGGTAGAGCCTAGGGTGGGGGTGGGGAGGCTGCCATAAAAGCTGTATTACAAAACGTGGAGCGTAAAGGTAAGCTGCAACCCTTTTACCATGCATGTCTATTGGCTGCACACTGAACACAAGACCTTTTACCCAATAACATGTAATGGTTAAAGGCTCAGGGAATGTCGAGGAGCTTTCTCTTTCCAGGCCAGGGGAAGCATGGAGGCCTACCTGCTTCTGATAAGTGTCCAACATTGAACCAACGGCGTCAAAGGTTGGAGACTTCAGGTTCACAAGGTCTTTCTCCAGAGCTGCAAGCTATGGGAGGAACGTCAGATGTTATTCATCATTTAATGTCAGTTTCTATCATGGTGGCCCTGCCCTAGTGGCCTGTACCGCCTGGGATAGGCTCCAGGCCACAGCTGCAACCCTATACTGGATAAATGCTTGGGACATGGATGGATGGATGGATCGATCGATCTATGTATGAACTTCCTCAACTGAAGACCTAATAAGACCTAATTCTTAAAATTACTGTGAAATATAATCCATAATACATAAATTAATTGTGCTAATTAATACATTTACTTTCTTTTAAATTCCGTCTCATCTGCCAGAATTATTCAAAGGCCCCCCCCAATCACAGTAACAAACAGGGCTGTGCACCCTCCTCTATGATGTCAGTGGCCCAGATTTCCTCTAGGAAACAAAGAGCTTGAAATCAAGCATGTGATCAGAGCCTCAGCACTCAGGGGGAGCATCTGGTGTGGACCTGAGCCACTGCCAAACTGGACTATATAAAGTCAGCCTGCGATTATACACGCATCTTCATTATATACGCATCATCCTGATAAGTCACATGACACACTCTGCTATCACCCGATTAATGGATTCCCCCTCATTTAATAAGCATCCGGGTAATGTTTTGGCAGGTAGGTCATACCTGGTTTCCTGGTATTTGACAGTTACATCCACGCTGATTGGCCGCTTCATCCAGAATTTTATTACGAATGCAGATAGAGAGAGGCAACAACTGCCCCTATATCAGAGTCAAGGGGACACCGTACAGGTCTCCCATCCCAAAAATCCAGGGGTCTCCAGTTTCATGGCCACATGGAAGCAGCTCTCGATGCATCCTGTGAGGTCTACAGTGAACTACAGTGCCAAGTTCCCTGTCTATCAGCAAGGTGCCCCCCATCATGGGCTGAAATGTCACTGAGTTGCATCAGTTTCTGGCGCCTTCTATCCCGGCCTGGTTTGCACAAAGACGCAGCACTGGAGACTAAACGCCATCTAAGATCTACATTTTCAAGGACTCATTCTCTGGCTGACTCCCGGGACAAGCTGGCACTTGGCCGGCGGTTTGACTTGTGACGGTGGGTGGGACCAGACCCAAGTGAACCAGCTGACCCTGAAAGCTGTGGATGCTATGGTGGCAGAGGGCGATTGGTGACACTGGAGTCCGGGGACAGGTAGTGTTGCCAGGCACCTGCAGACATGCTCGTTCACGGGGCCGGCGATGCGCTGACTCAGCCGTGTTCTCTCTGCTGCTGGCACACGCAAGCATGCGCTCCTGCTCCCCGCCCCCGTGCCCGCCCCCGTCCCCGTGCCCGCCCCTACCTTCTGGGACTCCACGAAATGCGTGGCCACGCCTGCCCTCTGCACATCCCGCCCCTTGAGTCGAAAGCCAGTGAGGGCCAGGAAGAGGCCCAGCTTGCCCTGCAGCCTGGGTAGGAAGTAGCCACCGCCGACATCAGGAAACAGGCCTGCAGAGAGGAGGAGAGAGTGCGTGGTCGTCAACAGGGTGACATGATCAAAACACCTCCGCAGGAACCAATTGCGAGGTAAGGAGTTTGCTTTGAATGAAATGGTCTCGCGAGGGGGAACATTAAACTAAGCCATTATATCACATGACCGACCAAGTGAAGGACCTGGTTAGTTATGTTTCATGGGAAATTGCTGTGCTCTGGCTTTACAGGATAGAGAGGCAAAGACCAAACTAAGAGAGTACAAACGCACCCGGACACATGGCAGGATGTGGCATAATGCCCTTTTAAAGGGGTGTTCTCCATTCTGCCCATGGCAAGGTGTCATGGCTGGTTCTTAAAACACTGAAGATTAAATAAGGTACGAGTTCAGAGCAGAGCAGAGCAGAGCAGAAGGAATATTTAGATGACATTGTGCAAACCGGCATCAAAATCCATTTACAAAACCCAAATGTCAACCATTCATTGTTTTACAGCTTTTATGACGTCCTCGGTGTGACCACAGCAAAGGGGATCTTCACTGATTCAGGTAATCTCTCTTCTGTCATCATCTGGTCAACAAGTTCTGATTGATCCTTCAGAAAATTCAAGTACCTTTGATGGGATTTCATTTAAAATGCCTCACAAACATCACAATATGGAAGGCACTGCAGCCATTTTCTAGTGTGTAGGTTGCTTTTACCAAACTTGGGAGAATATACATTTTAGTGACAGTTTCAGACGCATACAGAGAATAATTTGAGAAGGACTGGAACGGATACAGCATTTAGCTAAATTAAAAATGACCACCAAACTCTGTCATTAGTCACATCCTTTTTATGCATCGCACCCAAGGTTTATTTAAAGGCCCATGAATGTAGGTCTCAGGCTAATGTATTAACGTTTGGAGCAGAAGAGTGGATTTTTATTAACTTGGATGCTCCCTGGTTATATATGTCATAAAACACTTCCCTTTGACCATTATAAAGGGTGTGTACTGATAAGACCAACTGGCTGAAATTAAGCAAGTCCAGAAGGCTATAGTGTGACATATTATGATCATGTTTTTCTCCAAATTTATACTGTTTAACACAGCAACTCACTATGTGTATCCCCATGGCAGCAGAGGTTTAACACTTAGAAATGTTGATACACAATGAGGTGGACTTGACAGCTTTACTTACAGGAAAATGATGGAAAAACACTGACCATGAACGAGGACAGGCTGCACTGTGGGACTTTAAAAGGCTGGAAGATGACCAGCACTACCTCTGCAGCATGCCAAGCTATGCGGGTCTGTTAGGAGACACTGAATGTGTGGGCAAAAGCCATTATACAGCTCTGGAAAAAATTAAGAGACTATTCTATGTTTAAAAAAAATAGCATTTTTAAATCCGGGTTTAATCCTGGTTCTGCTGTCAGAAGTCTACACTGTGCGGCAGGCTGCTTCCAGGCTCTAAGTTTCTATGACAGCAGGACACAAGAACAACGTGAAGTAGGAGGCAATGGGATTGACCAGAGAACAGCCAGGTAGAGGGCGGAAGTGACTTTCTAATGCCAGTGATGACCGTTAACTTAACCGACAGTGAATCGTAGGATGACATCAGGTGACCTTCAAAAACAATGGGAAGCATTAAGTGCAGGTTTGAAGTGCACTGCTAGGACAATTTGTATCAGGATTCTAGAAGCAGGACTGAACTCCCATAAAGCTAGGAAGAAGCCCTTCATTAATGAGAAACAGAGAAGAACCAGGCTGCAGTTTGCAAAAATATATATTATATAATATAAACAGAGAAATAAATGAAACAAAAAATTGTGCTGTTTTTTTCCAGAGCTGTATGTCATTTATATTAGTAATGTTCAGAAATGTTTAAACACAAATTATTTGGGACATTCTTCCAAATTAATTCACCTTAAAACCTCTTTCATGTTTTACTACATATGGGCCAACAGGGGGGTGACTCTCCCAAGACGGCTCCTCATGAAGCATAGCCCTGAAACCCAGACTACATGCAGCAAGGATTAAAGCTTGTGACCCCAATTCCAAACTCAAATGATAATACCATAAATGCAGATTGTGACCACAGATCAACCCACAGGCTTAATTCAGCAGTATGTGGTTTGATAGGCAAAAAAATCTCTTAATCCACGTGTCGAGGGTGGTCCAGGTCACCGAGGGAAGCTTTCCAGCTAAACAGATGGATCTGATAGGTCTTCTTTACTACATCTTAAAATCTAAGACTTGATGAATCCGCTTTACTCAGCACACCAGCAATCTCTAGCACCGTCAATCCACTTGTCTACATGTGGCTCCACCTCCTCTTCTTTTAAAGAGTATATATTACCTTCACGGCAGTGTTCATATCTTCTGGAACCTTAAGTCCCATCTGCAATGCATAGTCAACTTAATAAATCGCTTGAAGTGGAGCATGTTCCATGCTGACCTTTAGTTTAGTTCACTACTGCATCGGTTAAGTAGCATCAGTTAAGCCTGGATGAAGGACCACTACTAGCTTAGACCAACTAGTTTCAGATGGAAAAGTAATTTAATTCAAGATGGACAAGAAAGACTCTCAAGCTCTATTTAGTTGAGATAACCGTCTCCCTCAAGCCCTTTCACACATTCTTCGTCTACAAAGACAAGGACTTTTGACTTGTTGAGGATCAACACAGATGCAAAGTGCAAGGTCCAGGTGGGAAACTAGGTAGATAGTTCACTTGTGCCCTTCCTCATGTTGTGCTTCTGTGGGCCTCTGTGCTGGAAACTACCCAGCTGCCAAGCTAAGCCCTTCTTGGGCAGAACCAGAGCCAAAGCAGGCAGGGAGCTCTGAAGGCCAATCATTGGTGTCACGCTGAGGATACAGGGAGGACTGCTATTCCTGGATGGTGTGAAGGATGTTGTCACCAACCCCATCTTTCCTGGGCTGATGAGCCACTAAGAGGGGGCTGACAGCACAGTGAGATTTAATTCTTGTTATTATTGGGTAAATGAAATAGAAATAAGCAAACTCAAAAGTAAACTTGCATGTGTTTCGGTAAGCACAATATTAATCACACGCTTGTACTTTTTATGTTGGATAACACAAGGATAGCATTCATTCACATGAAAAGTTTTGTGCAAAAGCACAGTGGGTCACAATAAAGGCACAATGAAGCTTTAAGAAATTACTTGCTAAAGCCCCAAGCTACAGACCCAACCCTAATAACAAAAGCATTAGCAATGATAGCACAACAATAACAAAAAGCTCTCTCAGTGCTCGATTAGCAATGATAGCACAACAATAACAAAAGCTCTCTTAGTGCTGGATTAGCAATGATAGCACACCAATAACAAAAAGCTCTCTCAGTGCTGGATTAGCAATGATAGCACAACAATAACAAAAAGCTCTCTCAGTGCTGGATTAGCAATGATAGCACACCAATAACAAAAGCTCTCTCAGTGCTCGATTAGCAATGATAGCACACCAATAACAAAAGCTCTCTCAGTGCTCGATTAGCAATGATAGCACACCAATAACAAAACTTACCTTCATGCTAGAATAATAT